TTAACTTCTCCCCCCCCACCAACCAAACTGTAAGTTCAGTGATGAAGAGGATCAAATCTATTGCATTTTGCCTCTATAACTCAAGCAGCTACCCCAGTGCCTAAACCAAAAAGAGAAGCTCAATAAATCGTTGCTTAGTTAATGAAGGCAAGCAATCGATCGAAGCATAATTTCAGGCCCCGACCTGAAGAGCCAACCTTTTGAAGGTTTCCAGTTGTTCTTCATTATTGGCAAAAGGGAAGGTAACTAACATTTTGTCCAATTACCAACATGGACCAATAGCTGTGTGCCACCAAGGCATGTTACCTCATTTAACAGTCGCAATAACTTTGTGAGGTAGCCCGCGTTTGCTCCACTTCCTGGATGAGTGACGTGGGGGCCAAAAATACCAGTATTCACCCAATGTCACACAAGGAGGCTGAGTGGAAACTTTGGCTCTAATGCCATGGACAGTCACAATTGTATAACATCACTACTGGGGCTTTTTTTTTTTATTTTTTTTATTTTTCAATTATAGTTAACATACACTATTATATTAGTTTCAGGTGTAGAGCATAGTTATTAGACATTTACATAACTTACAAAGTGATCACCCTGGTAAATCCAAAATCCAACATAGTTCTCACAACACTGTTGACTATATTCCCTGCACTGTACTATATACATCCCGTTTTTTATCAATGGCCATTTGTATCATTAATCCCCCCGCTTTTTCACCCACCTCCCCAATCCTCCTCCCATCTAGCAACCGTCAGAATGACCACTGGACTATTAAGCAGTAGCTGAAAAAAAGCTATCAGTCAAAAGTGTCACGGAGACATTTTTGGATGGGTATGACTCATCACCAAATAAACTAAACTTGAAAATCTTCAAGAGCCATCCAACTCCAATTTAATGAGCCGATGCTGCTCTTCACTAGCAGAGTCCTGACATCATTTCTATTCGATTGTACGTGACTGCACAAAAGGACCCAAAGATCTAAAAAGCCCACCACGTCGCACTACGCCCTCCCCCAGTTCCAACATCAGAGGGCAATTCATCTGAGGCTGCAACGGGCTGTCAAAATATAAAGGCCACGGGCGGTTGCCAGCTAACTGGGGGTCCTGACCTCCTAAAAGGTCTCCACCTCCCCGGCCCTCCTATCTCGCTCAGCAAGGATGATACCCTTCCCTGTCTATCAAGAGTATAGTTTCGAGTATTTCCAAGGAACTCAAGTTTCAACCTACTCCCCACTACTACTCTCGCTTCAGGATAACCTAAAAAAAAATACACAAATAATAAGGTTCCTCCCAATCTCTCTTCTTGAAGAATTAAAATGACCACTGTGATTCTTGAGGAATCACAATTTCTGGATTACCCACAGGCTGGTCCTGAAAAAAGAAAAGTGATGGGCGGGCACAGTTTAGACTGAGGACCTCCCAGCCCCTACTGCTGTTTACTATTCATGCACAAAACAGTCATAATTCTGTATCTCAATAAATGGATCAATAACACTCACTGAGTGAATGCAGTGGCTCTCAATTCAAATGGATACCAGGTTCAATTGCGTGGCTAAAGCATGTATTTTGCGTTCATGCACTTATCCTGGCCCCACATGAAACTATTAAATCATAACTGAGACTAATGCCCAAGCAACAGTAATTCTTTAAAGCTCCACAGATTATTTTGGTGCCTATCCCTAGTTCAGAGAAACTGTCTTATTATATCATAACACTAAACTACTTACTCATTCAAACACTGGCTAGGTGTGAGGGCGAAGTGACAAAAATCGCATCAATGAGTAAAGTCCTAATTGCACTTGATACACACATTTACAGTCATTTCCATAAAGAAGTACCTTCTCTCCCTTTTCCTTAAGTTACATGGCTTTCTTAGCCTTTTTCTTTTTCCCACATTTGATAGATACAAGACTTTTATATCCCCCATGTTCTCCTATGAAGGAAAAAGATGGTTTAAACACGTGAGGAAGCAAGGAGAACACACGTTCTGGTTTACCTGGAACAGCCAGCTGTATGTCCGCTGTGAGGGTGCAATTAGTAAGCAAGACCCCTCACTCTCAAAATATCCTGGTTTGATAATAAATTAGGTCAGAAGTCAACCTGTTTTCATTTCTATGTGATTTTTTAAACTGAGTTATAATTCACTTGTGCCATAAAACTCATGTTTTAAAGTGTATAAGTCACTGCTGGGTTTTTTTAAATTATATTCACAAAACTGTGCAACCGTTCCCAGTATCTAACTCTAGAATATTTCCGACATCACCCTAGAAAACTCAATGCCCATTAGCAACCACTTCCCGCCCCACCCACTCCCCAGCTCCTGGCCATCCTTAATCCACTTTCTCTCCGCGTGGATTTGCCTAGTCAAGATGCTTCATGTAGTAACTACCACGAATAATGCTGCTGTGATTAATGGAGCACAGGTTTTTGTGTGGACATGTTTTCAGTTCTCTTGGGTATACAACAGCCAGGAGCAGAATTGCTGGGTCATATGGTGACTCTAACTTTTAGAGGACCTGCCAGACTGTTATCCAAGCCACCAGAAACCTTTACATTCCCACCAGAAACATACGGTATAAGGATTCCAATCTCTACACATCCTCACCAATGCTTTTTATTTTATTTTTTATTACCACCACTCTACTGGTGTGAATTGGTATGTCAGGTGGTTTGATTTGCACTTCCCTAATGACTAATGACATAAAGCATCTTTTCATGTGCGCATTGGCCATCTGTGTATCGTCTTTGGGGGAAAGTTTAGTCCAGTCCTTTTCTTATTCATCTTTTCACTGTTAGGTTGTAAGAGTTCTCTATATATTCTGGATACTAGAGCCTTCTCAAACATGATTTGCAAATATATTCTCCTATTCAGCAGGCTGTTTTTTCACTGTCTTGAGACAGTGTCCCTAGAAGCATGAAAGTTTTTAATTTTGATAAAGCCCATTACTATCTCTTTCTCCTTTGGTTGTCTGTGCTCTCAGTGTCGTATCTAAGAAACCGCCACCTAATCAAGGTCACGAAGCTTCAAGCCTATATAGTTTCAGCGCTCACATTTAAGTCTTCAATCTATGCTAAGCCAACTTTTGTATATAGTGTGAAGTAAAAAACTAACTCCATTCCTTTACATGTCAGTACCGAGGTATCCCAGCACCGCTTGTTTAAAAGGCTCTTTTTCCCCCTGGTGAACGGTCTTGGCACCCCTGCCAAAAATCAACTGACCTTAAACGTATGGATTTATTTCTGGACTCTCAATTCTATTCCATTGATCTTTATTGTTCATCCCTGTGCCAGTATCACAGCGTCTTCATTACTGCAGCTTTGTAGTAACCTCTAAGATCGGGAAGTGGGAGTCCTCACCTTTAGTATTTTTAAAGGTTATTTTTGTCTATTTTGGGAATTTTGAGCTTCTATGTAAATTTTAGTACCAGCTGATCAATTGCTGCGGGCAGGGAAGTCAGCTAGGATTTTGATACAGATTGCATTCAATCTGTTTGAGGAATAATGCAATGTTAATAATATTAGGTATTCCAATCCATAAACACAGTAGGCCTTTGACTTATTTAGGTCTTCTTTCATTTCTTTCCATGATGTTTTGTAGTTTTCAGTGTACAGTTCTCACACTTTTGTTAAATTTATTCCCACGTATTTTATTTTTTTGTTGCTATAGTAAATGGAGATGTTTTCTTAATTTCATTTCAGAGTTCCCTAGTAGCATTCTATATGGTTCTTTCTTTTTTAATCCTCACCAAAGGACATGTTTTTTATTTATTTTAGAGAAAGAAGAAGGGAGAAAGACCCAGACACGCCCCCGCCAGGGGTTGAACTCTCAACCTAGGTATGTGCCCTGGCTGGGGATCAAATCTGCAACCTTCTGGTGTATGGGATGATGCTCCACCCTACTGAGCCACTTGGCCAGAGATATATGACTCCTGATTTCAGAAACTTTCAATTAGATAAAAAAAGAGTAATTCAAAAAGTGTACTGCTTACCCTGGGGTCATCGAATTATCATCTACTAGAAGGGGAAAAATATTATCCAAGCAAGCAAGAAATCCTACTGGCTATCCACTTTGCTAAAAGACCTCCTTGAAAAATCAGAATCAAGCAATGTCAAATAATTTTAATCCCCATTTCAGTACCATATAGTGCAACTACATTATGCACAAACTGACTGACACACATACACACAATTTTGCACTATATTCCCTTATAAAATATACAAACAAAAAACCACTCATACTATACACTCTCTTGGCCCAAGGTGGGGGTAACTATTGTACTGTAATTTGTAATGCAACCAGAGGTTCTTTGTCCTTACAGAATTATCTTTCAACTGCTTTTAAAATGAAAAAATATTTCTTTGTTCCCTCTAAAATAGGTTGTTTCCATTAGTGTTTACAAAAACTAAATCCAGGCAGAAATTCAAATTCTGAAATAATTTAAGACTATCATTAAACTACTGGTTTATGGAAAATAAAGATTTCATCTCAGCCAGAACTGCAGCCAGGTTTGTGCATGCTGTATCTAATTAGATATTTTTAAAATACGATGATATGGTGTATGAACACAATGATAGCTATTTGCCACGATTTTAAAAAAATGATTCAACAACAACAATAAAATCACTTTACTTTGACTGTAAATGCAGATTTGCTGTATATAACTTTCGTAAAGGAACAACAAACATTCAAACTTAATTTTATAAAGTTCTGATTTATATTAGGGCTGTTAGAAATTTTAGGCAAAATTCAACTTATCTGAGCAGTGTCATACAAAACATATGGGACATTATCACTACATAATATTATGCACTTCACCTGGAGTCTATAAGTTTCCCTAATTCCATCTACATTACCTCCCAAAATAAACTCCAAAGTGATTGTCATTCAAACTCACAAGACAGTCTGAATGGATTACATTTAACTCCCAAAGTTAAATGTTTTAACAAAGCATTTCCATTGTATGTATTTACTACATATCACAGAAAAATTAAATGTCTTACTAGAAATGATGTATCCACAAAAAGTGCACTTAGATATGATCCTTGCAGAAAATTCTCTTTCGTTCCTCTTTCACAAAATGCAATTCCCTAATAAAGAAAAAGATATGAAGTGGGTTAGTAATTGTTCTTAACTCTGACATATAATTAAACATACATTTCATTATTACAAATTCCAACAATGACACAATGCCTGGCAGATAGCTCCACAAATACTTGCTGAATAATAAAAAAATACATTTCTAAAAGTCAGTTGTTTATTTGGTTAATAAAAACATAATGTTAAGCCAACTGAGCATTTCTAATGCCATGATCTATTTTTTAAGGGAGTGTTACTCAAATGGTCGATAATATTCTATGTGCTTCAAGAGTCGCGAACTGGTTTCCTAGGTCCTACTTTCCTACCCTCTATATCGCCTGATAACGCTTTATACTTTCTGGTACACATGGCCTATTGAATGTATGTTGTGAAAAAAATAGTGGAAAATGTTTATTGTACTATGTTCTCATTTAGAAAGAAAATTGTCAATGGACCAGTGATTTCTATTGCTATAATATATGTTTGTATTCATACATGATGTATATACCTGTAGCTTCATTCTATCTTTTAAAGGGGACATAAAAATAATAACCATAAAAAGCCAAAAAGGAAGGTAAAATTGATCAGTGTCAATACTTCACATTAATAAAGGAACACTGGTGAATACTAACCAAAGGATTAGTGCTTTAACAATAATCTAGTCCTGCTATTTTTTTTTTGTTTGGAAATAAGAGAAGGACGTTTAGGCTGAAAGGGAAAAAATGTCAACACCCGGCCCTCTCCTCACCCCAACTGGCCAGGACCGATTAGGACGCTAATCCAATAACACAATTGCATGACTGGGTAATTCTGCCAATCCCTCAACTAAATCTGCTTCATCAAATGAAAAGCATCGTTTCTCCACAGAAACACTGGTCTTTTGAATCTGATTCAACAGTATTAATTATTGAGATAATGTGATTTTATTTCTATTTGAAATAGATATCTTTCTTCATCTTTCCCACTTCCATATTCTTTTTATATTAACAAATTAAGTAGTAAAAGCTTGAACTTTAAAACACACGTACACACATCCAAGCAAGCCTTTTTTTGCAAGATTAAAAGGAGCTTGCTTTAAAAAGCCAATTTCAGCTTTTAACCTAATTCCAAGAAATGTAGAAAAGAAAAACTCCTCAAATACAGTTTTATTACTTACCAACTTCTAAAACTCAATAATTCAAAGTGAAACTATTCTTCATGGGTCCTCAACCTACACAAAACTAATGACTTTACTACGGATGTTCGCCACAGCTTTGTGTCAGAGCCACTGCAGGAATTAAAGGTTAGTGATCTGACCCATGTAAATAAGTGATTCACACAAATCTGAGGGTTACACTCACGGCACATATTCTTACATCAAGTTCATTCCTAAATTCTGTAAATGAACTGCTGTTGATAACTTGCGTTTTGTACACAGGGCTGAAATAGTATTTAAAAGGCAATATTCTAAAAGTCAACTTTTTGTAGTTCTTTTATAATTAGCTACAATGAAACACACCCAGACCTTCCAGCACCAAAACCAGAATGTTAATGCGGCACCAGCCATCTCTGAGTTCCTTGCGCCGACCCCCCACCCCCACCCCGAACACCACAACTCTTGTCCCGGCCGGGGCCAGTGCCTCCCAAGCCTGCTCCCAGCCCGCTGCCGTGCTCCTCCTGGGCCCTGCCGCCTGCCCTGTGCTAGCCTGGACTGCAAGCCGTCGCCTGAGCTGTGAAGCTCCACGACTCTGCGCAAGTTCTTGCCCCAGTGAAGGAGGGTGTGGCAGAGGTCTGAAAATGTCTTCATTAGGAAAAAATAGAAAATAAAGCAAGGGAGAATGTATTGTCATAGGGAGGAGGCTAACCGTGAGAAGAGGTATGGGGGAAAGGTATTAATGTAATAACAACAGCAGCAGTAACATCTAAGTATTTATCATCTGCTCATCAGTATCCTAACGGCTTTACATGTGTTAACGGATGCAAAACCAACAATAACTTCACTACTATCCTCAGGAGGAGACTAAAACACTAAGCAGCAGCTTCCCGCGGGCACGCAGCTAAGCTAGTAAAGCGGTGAAGCCAGGACTAGAATCCAGGCATGCTTTAACAGCGACGCCTGACCACGGTCCAAGTAATGCGTTTTAAAACTGTATGAAATTAGTGGAAAAAATGAATGGACACTGGAGCAACAGGTTCAAGACAGAGCACAGCAAATCCCGGTCTCAGAGGGCTGATACGTTTGAGCAGCTTCTGATGCACGTCGACATCCACTGCACATCCACACCTGCACGGCAGTCACCCTGACAAATAACAGGCGAGCGCCTGCTGCGAACAAGAATGATAAACACTGATAACTTCTCAGCAACCTGGAACATATATTTTAAATTTCTACATGACAGTTACCACAAATAAGATTACACAGGACAGTATCACAAAAATCATGTGGTTAAAAAAAAAGCTTTTAAAGAAGGGGCTCTGAAACAAATGAGACCGTTGAAGGGACTATCAGTGGCACAAGTTACTGTCAACTTCCAGTTGCCCATTTCAACAAGAGTTAAACGGAATGACCAAGGTTCAAACTCCTCTGTTCAAATGTTTCAGCTACACTTTACCCAGCAAACAGACAGCTCCTAATACAACCGCTGATGATAACTGAAGACCTGAATGACCCAAAATAAACAACCGGCTCCCTACCTCCTATCTCTTGCTACAGTAGCTTCCTATTTCAGTGCCTCATCAGTGGATGCCTATAAGCTCGAAGGCAAAGTGAAACCAAAGTACTGCTGACATCATGTTAAGAGTCTAGTTTCAAACCTTAAGGGCCTGCAAACCTAAGCATCTCCTCAAATCTTGATTTAAAAAACAACAAAACAAAACCCAGTACACTTATATAGAAAATTTCTGTCTTACATTAGAAATTATCAAAACTTCATTGAACACCTCTGCCTTGAGCATAATGCAGAGCCCAAGAAACGAGGTTTCCATCTGAAAATAAACAGCTTTAAAGTCAATCCCTGTCAGGACAAGAATGAAACAGGTGAAAGGATAACACGAAAAACAGCCTGTAAACACAACACAAAGTGCATCTTTGCTCAAATATGAATTTCAGTTAGTAATCAAAACTTGGGCTAGTGGCGATGGTGTTTTTGTTTCAAATGAGGGCCAGCTCTCATGTATGGTGCTCATAGAACTACTCGCGCCTTAAGACGGCTTTGCTGGAGTAACTAGTACCAGACGTGCTCTCCTCCCACTGAACTTCATTAAAAAAAGGTCAGATGTATAAAATTATAATTTTAAAACACTGGACAAGAAGCAGCCGGCCCTGTGACGCCTGGAGGAAGGGCAAGCACCTCCTACAAACGAATGCCTCGGTGCAGAGCAGGGCGGCAGGGCAGCCAACGGCGGGCTCCCCGAGCGGAGGCAGAGAACTGGCCTGAGGGCGGCTGGGGCAGCGGGACCCCGTGGAGCAGGAGGACCCTGTGGGGCAGGGCAGCAGAGAGGGCAGAGATGAAGAAGGGATCGTGCTCCTGAAATCTGCAGGGGTTTCCAGAGAGGTTCTGCCCAAAAGAAATGTAAGGTAGACCTAAAAGGTATTCATATTTTAAATTTTCTAGTACCCATATCTGAAAGTAAAATGCAGTAGCTGAAACTAATTTTAATATAACTCATCTAACCCAATGTGCTCAAAACCTTATCGTTTCAGGATATAACTGACTAAAATTCAGTGTGTGTTTCACCTAGAGCTTACTTAAATTTGAACTAGCGAAGATTCAAGCTCTCAATGGCGACTTGTGGCTAACTGCTGCCATACTAGACAATGAGGTGCCTCACGGAACGAAGTCGTACACGAGTAAAGTATAACTCTACACGGCCACGCAAAGAACAATGATCGGGAAGAAGCAGGCCCCAAATTCCCAGAGATTACAGTAAGGCTGGGGGCGTTCCAGTTCCAACCAGAGAGGGGAAACTCCCTGAAACCGACCCGTGGGGCAACCTGTAGAAACCCAAGCAGAGCTGCGACTTGGTGGCAGCGCTACACTAGTCCTACAGTAAAGGCTCTATTCTAGACCTGCCAGAATAAAGTTTGAAAACAAGCCTTAAAAGGCTCAAAATGACCTACAAGAAATGTAACAACCTGCCAAAACAAAATTAAAATCTCTCCAGAGGAAATCAACAAAATTCAGACAATGGTGTGAGGAATGTCCAAGAGTCAATCAAAACTTACTAAACATAAGAAAATGGAAAAATGTGTAATCCATACCAAGAAGAAAAACCTGAAAAAAGAAACAGAGCCAGAAATAGAGAGATGATATCTTTAAAGATATGTAAAGCTTAAAATATTATAAACATATTAAAGTATTTAAAGAAAAACAAATAAAAGAATTTTTTTTTAAAGACTCAAATGGATTTCTAAAGATGTAAAAGGCAGTATCTCAAACAAAAAAAAAAAAGACTGACAGACTTAGCAACAGATTAAACAGAGCAGGAAAAAAAGATTCCTAAATTGAAGATGTAAAAAAGAAACAAAGAGGAGCATGCGGACCTGTGAGAATACAAGGGCAGCCTAAAAAGGCTGTATAGCTGCAGCCCCAGAAGGATGGGCAGACAAGGAGTATCTGAGCTGAGTAGTAGGAGCCAAAGCATTTCCACGCTTAGGAAAACCGAACCGATGTACTCAAGAAACTCCATGAACAATTTAACAACTTAAGCACAAAGAAACCACACCAAGGCACATACTCGTCAAACTTAAGAAAGCCAGTGATACAGAGAAAATCTAAAAGCGGCCAAGGTGGGGGACGGCCACACCTGTAGGGGAACAAAGGTAAGAATTACCACAAACTCCTCGTCAAAAATAATGCAAACAGGTTTAAAACAAAGGAACAACACATTTAAAGTGCTAGAAAGGAAAAAAAAACCTGTAAACCAAAATCTACATAAAACAAAAATAGCCTCACAAGTGGGGGGTGGGGGCGGGGGGACATTTTCAGACAAAAGCTGAGACTCCGTCACCAGCAGGCCTGCACTACCAGGA